AGAATACATGAGGATCATATAATTATATTTTAATAGTTTTAAAAATCTTTCGACTGAACGTATTATTAAAAAAAAAATTAAGTTAAAAACTTTAGCTTACCTAATTCAAGTAGATTTTGACTGAATTTAAATTTTAAATATGAGATTATTCAGATTATTAAACAAATTTTTTATATTAAATACTATAACTTAATTTTTTAAACTATTTAAATAAAGGTTTCTTAAACTCCTTTCAATAAAAATCTTTAGTTTACTCGGTAATTGACTTCCACGTCGTTTCGGATAGGTCAACATGCTCATGAAATACTTTATAGATTCGACAAGAGCACACATAAGATGAATATAATTTGTCAAACAAGACAATTAAATATCGATAAATGAACACATTAATATAATAATACACCATAAAAAATATGCATAATACATATTCCTTACTATCAATAAGAGGAAATGCAATGCTCATCAAGGCTCCTTCAGAGGCCCAATAACAGTACTATAATTAAGTTGAAATATAAATATATAGCATTTGTTAATTATTATTGCTTAGTTTCTAATTAACAGTGCTTAAAAGTCAAAGTTCAAGACTCACCGAATGTATAATTTGAATCTTATTAGTGGTTAAAACTGAACCAAAACAAATAATTCTTTCTAAGAAAGTTATTGGAAGGGAGAAAGATTTTCAAATTTCACTTTTCTATTATATTATTGACAACCTAACCGCTGATCATTTTAGAGACTTTATTACCAATTTACTTAAATTTATTCAAAATCAGTCGTCCTGAGAGTATTTATAAAACAAAAAAAGAGAAAAGTATCCAGCATTTTTCTTAACAACCAAATAGTAGATAATAAAATTGAGTATAAAAAAGTAAATGCCAGATCCAACACGGTGAATACTAACACCGCTCCATTTCACACAATAAAATAATTAAAGCCCTAATTAAGCTGAGAAATTAAAAAAATAACAAAAGCAGTTGATTTGCTCGAACAAATTCAAAAAAACTTACGAACAGTAGCTGATAATAATTAAATAATTAAATTAACAACTAATTAATTCAATTTAACAACTAAATAACTTAATTTACACCTAATTAATTAAACTAACCGCTAATTAATTTTTTTAACAATTAAAATTGAATTAAAAATTGATTAACTTAATTTAACAACTAAATAACTAATTAATATTAATTTAACACCTAAATAACTTAATTAATACCTAATTAATTAAACTAACACCTAATTAATTTTTTTAACAATTAATTAATTTAATTAACAAATTAACCCTAACAAGAAAATAAATTAACTACCTAACAATTAACAAAAAAATAATGATATAAAAATATATATAATCATTGAAATCAAAGGGAAAAAAATCAGTTTATAAACTCGTCGAAGGTAATAAAAAAATTAAAAAAAAATCATAAGCAAAAACCAAGAACTCACAATGATTCAGTTAGGAAGCCGACCATAAATGAAGGAGGAGAGAAGGGAGGAGTAGCTAGTAGAACCACGGAGAAGAGGAGGGAAGGGAGGAGGAGAAGGAAAGAAGAGAAAGAAGAAGAAAATGAAGGAGGAAAGGAGAAAGGATGGAGAGGAAGAAGAAGAAAAGAAGAGAGCAAAAGAGTTTGGATGGTTTAACGACGGTAATGGAGGTTTTAGTTAGTGAAGAAGAAAAAGAAGAGAGAAGAGATGGAGAAAATGAGCGGCAGAATCCAATTTAGGGATTTTGCATTTAGCGACGGTTTTCATTCCGTCGCTAAATGCAAAATCCCACTTTTTGAAAAGAAATTTGATTTTCCCTTTAGGTGTCATTTTTATCGACAGATCATATCAAACCGTCACTAAAGCATCCAAAAAATGAGATATTAGCCATGATTTTCTATAAATTGCTACCGAAAACCTCGCATTTTTTTCGAGATTATAGTGACAATGTTTACTAAACCATCGCTAAAGCCTTCCAAATTATTGGGAGAATTTAGCAAGGGTCCGTCAATATCATTGCTAAATCCCTTAAAAATTTTGGGGGTTTTTGTAGTGATGGTTTAAGCAAAACGTAGCTAAATTCCTCAAATGTATCCGTTGGGAGGTTTTTGAAAAAATTGGCTACGGTCTATCCAAATTGTCACTAATTTTGCCCAAAGTGGTATTTTAGCAACGGTATCCTAAAAACCATCGCTAAAAACATAAAAAATGAGTAGAATCCGTGACGTTTTGACTAGACTATTGCTAAATTCCTAAAGTGTATCGGTTGGTGGGTTTTGGGGTAATTTAACAAACGTCCGCTCAAACCGTCGTTAAATTCACCCAAAATGGTATGTTAGCGACATTTTCTTATAAATCATCACTAAAAACATAAAAAATTGATGGAATCTCCAACGATCCGATCGGACCATCGCTAAATCCCCCAATGTATCCGTTGGGGGTTTTGGAAAAATTTAGTAGTCTGTCTGTTCGAACCGTCACTAAATTCAATCAAAAAGGTCCGTTAGCGATAATTTTTCTAAATCCGTCGCTAAAATAAACAAAAAATGGATGTAATCTGCAACGGTTTGACTAAACCATCACTAAAGCCATCGGGATTTACGGATGGTTTGATAAAATGTCGCTAAAAACCCAATAAATTTTTTTAACTCGCTAACTTGGGTTTAATTTGTGATTTTTTTTTTTTTGAATTTGTGAGTTCCGAATGATAGTTGTACAAACCGTCGCTAAAAATCGACACTATAAACAAAATTAGCTATGGTTTACAAAGAACATCACTAATTCTTATTATTTAGAAATGATTTTCTAGACCGTCGCTAATTAATAGATTCTATTCTTTTGTTTTCTTGTAGTGAACGACCTGGCTTGCGAAGGTCCATGGCTTCTTTTCCTTTTTTCTTTCCTTTTCTTTTCAAGTTAGTCTTTGCATGTGATCATATCAACCGTCTACCATAAGTTTTCTAAATTTAGGATATAACCAAAATTTGATTATCGTCAAGCTGGCGTTTGGTGTTAAGAATAATAAAGAAACGCTTGCTTTAGTTGTTTTTTTGTTTTTCGTTTTTCGAATTAATGAATAAATCCAGAAGAAGAAAAATACAAGACAAAAACGGAGAAAAGTGGGAAGAAGCTTCACTAGAGTTTCTCCCTTTTCCTGGTTTAAATGAGAGGTTGTAAACAATAAAGCACACAATTCATGGAAAGTAGTTTTTCCTTTTTTGGCTAGGAGATATGTAAAAGATAAGAATTAAGGTAAAGAGGAGATATGTAAAAGATAAGAATCAAGGTACAGGGCCTTTAATTACCTAATGTGTTAATTTTGTCGAATTCCAGAATTAACAGTTCACATGTTACTAACTTCTTTCAGCTATTTGTAAATAATGATCCGTTCCTTAATTTTACCAAAAGTAAGTTTTTGTACGCATGCATGCCGTTTCTTTTCCCAAAAAAGTGAAAAAAAAATCGATATGTTCTAATAATTATTTGTAACATAGCCTGAATTGAACATTTGGTACCTTAATTTGGTACGTACCAGAGAGACTATACATCATTGATGCATTTGATTTTCTCGTCTTAGTTATTAATTCTTATTCGAAACACTTCGGCTCTCTATAACTAAAGTTCCCTCTATATGAGAAAACGAAAAAAAGAAAAAAGAAAAAGGAAAAAAGAAGCATCTATAAAAAAATTATGTAAAGTTCACTTTCAGAAAAATTCAGTAAAACAAAAATATCATGATCAATTACATGGATTGACTAAGTAGAAGGGTGTGTATATAAAATATTTAATTATATTTCAATTTAATTTGGATTTGAACCAATTATACGGATAGACAAAGTGGAAGTGTTTCTTAATTTTTTTTGAGAAAAACGTTCATACATTCAAGAATATCATTACACAGCAGAATTCATGTAGTACATTTTTAACTCTTACTAAGCTTCTTAATCACAGGTTAGTAAATTAAAAAAGTTCCAATTTATGATTTGTCCCGACATTACCACAACAATTAATATAGTAAAGTAAAATTATGGTGCAGTAACCCTCAACAACTATATATACATCCAAGCACCGACAAGGCAAATTGCAAACAGCCTCCTTCTTAAATTTATGTCTCTCGATCATGCTCAAACCCAGATAATGCAAACCCTTGCATTTTTTTATTTAATTATTTTGACTCGGGATATAGGGTTAATAAAGTCACTTTAGAGGGACAACAGCAACAGAAAAATTTCCTGTCTTGGCACTTCTGCATAAAAATGGCCAACCCCGAAAACCCAACAACAACAAGTAACACTCTTTCGAGTACAAAATTAAGGCATAATCGCCTTATAAAACATGCACTTCTATTCATGCCGGAACAACTCATCTAGTTGGGTGCTAGGGCACGCCCACTGCTATAGTCATTAGATATATATATAGCAAATATTTTCTTTGGCTTTAGCAGAAACAACATCCTTTACACATCAAAATTGGACATTTCTTGGATAAGTTTGAAATAGACGACGGTCCACATTTTGAATAATACATTTTTAATTAAAAAAAAGCTTTTTTTCCATCTCTCTTAAAATTTAAATAACACAATAACTTGGAAAACGTATTATTTACCAACAAGATTAGCCACTTATGGGATATATATTTATCGGAAATATTAATTAAGCACTCCATTGAAAAGAAGCGGCGGTGAAGAAGGATAGGGGTAAAATTGGAATACGAAAAAATTGCATGAGAAGCTCGCAGATAAAGGGGGTTATAAGAGGACGCTTGGCGTGTAGGAGCATCCATTAGTTACCAAATGTTCAACTCCTTCTGCTGAAAAGAAATGAGATTCCCACAGGAAAAAAGTAAAAAAAAAAAAAAAAAGAAAGGAGAGGGGAGGGGGTTTTTGATTTAGTGGTACAAGCAAATTAATAACTGGTCCACGTACAGCTAGCAGATAGGTTAGCTAAGAGAGAAAACAAACTCCACTATATCAAAATTAATAGCAGTAGTACTGTCACTTCTGCTGACTAAATATATACATGGGGGAATCTGATTGCAAAAAAAGGCTTGCATGTAGGTTTTCGTCAATGAAGCTTTTGGTGTTTATGGTTCCATTGATACTGGTTTCTGGATTTCTTGCTATTTTTGGTCCAAGATCAACTACGACTTCCAGCTGGGATTTTATAACTCTACATCCCTGGCTATGGCGGGGACATGGTAATTCTTCTTTAAACAGTGCTAGTATTGTCACGTTACAAGCAAAAGAGAGTGCTGATGAGTTTCTACATGTTCTTGGCCGCTTTTCTGCTCCACCACAAGCTGTTGAGGCTTTACCATTTGAAGAACCTGTAAGTCCTTTATCTTTGGTCTTGTTAATTACCTTCTCTGATTTTTATATGGTAGACTATCTTGATCGATGATTCATTTAAAGAAAAACAGACTTTCTTGTCAATGTCTGAAGATTTTGGCTGATACTACTATTAGCAGGATTCTGGCTGTTGAATATACTTTTATTTTCTGTACAATTTGGATTCCGCCAAATTTTGAGATAGTGTCTCTGCCGGCCCGATTCCCGTTTCCTCTTTCTTGTAGCAATTTAGGGTTTATGCAAAGTTATATGATTTTTGTCAGCAACCATTTTTGTGCGGTTCAATATAAATTGTTGCCTAGGTAATAAGGAAGCCAAGTCAAAATGTTTTCAGTATGTCTGTTTTCTTGAAAGAAGATGAAACCCTAAGACACACACACACACACATATATTAGGACAGCTATATATATTGTATTGGAAAAAGGTAAGTTAAGCTCTCTAGTGCTAAGGTTGCATTCTACTTTGCAAAATAGGTTTGGTACATCATAATTTAAGGCCAAACTGATTAAACTAACATTTTGCTGATATGGGGGATTATTTAATTTTGGGCCAATAAATGATTTTAATTAGCTTGAACTGCCCCCACTTTTACAGTTTGAAACGTATATAAAAAAAAAACAGTGACTTCCCGAGAATGTAATGCTTTTTCTCTCATAAAAAAATATGATCTCTTAATTTTGCCTCAACAAACTTTTTTGGTGAGAATTTTATATATATATAATTCGGGACTAGAGTGAATAACTGTAAGTTTTACTGTTGTGCAGAATGCTTTGAAGCGATATAGTTCACAAATTTCAGGGCCCATTGCTGCCCCAACAAATGAGTCTCTTGATCTTTCCAGGAAAACCAGACATCAAACCGAGTACACCAGCTTAGAGAGGCTCGAAGCAGGCCTTAAAAAAACTCGTGTTGTAGTGAAAGAAGCTAAAAATGGAAACCAAACACACGACCCTGATTATGTTCCGGCAGGCCCTATCTACTGGAATGCCAAAGTCTTTCACAGGTGTGTTAAATTATTCCTCACTGCAGGCCATATTCGTATTTATTTATTGCCATTTTGAACCAAACATTATGCTTAGCTTACCACTTTAAAAACAAAAAACGGTGTTAAGATTTTCTTTTTCTCCTTTCTAGAGTTCTGATGAAGAAATTGACAAAAATGCCCATAACAGACCTTTTAGCTCCTCTCTTCTCTGTAACTACAATGGAAAAAAATCTCATCTTTTTCTTCTCTCTTCTTCCCTTTAATTCTAAGCTTGTAAGCCATAAAAGAAAAGGAAAATCAAAGGAAGTCCCATGAATCTCTAAAACAAGACCTAAATTAAAAATCTCAATTAAATCTATCCTTAAAAAATCTCAATTCTAAAAATTTCAAATTAAAAAAAAAAAAAAAACAAACCAAAAGCCACTCTGATCAGGACTGTTGTAGTGTGTGATGGAAGTCTTGCTATTGTTGTGTGTTGTTGTTGCTGGAAATGATACGGGAAAAAGTTTAGTTCAATGCGAAGAGAGATTATTGTTTTAGGTGTGGGTGCGTTGATCTTTGAAAGCGGAGGCTCCATGGTGATGAGATTCTGTGGCTAGTTTGTTTTTCTTAATTTATTAGTTGCAGAGAAGAGGGGAATTTGGAGGATTTTTTGTAGTATTTTCATCCATTTTTCATTTGAACCATAAAGAAGGGGAAAAAGAAATCATTTTGTTTAGGAGGCAAATTCAGAATAAATATTTATAGATTAGAAAACCAATTAATTAATCCTCTTGTTTTAAAAACTATTATTTAGTTTTTTAATTATTATTCAACATATTTAATTTAATGTTGTTTGTATTCCATAAAATCTCTTATTTTTCATCAATCTTTCAATATTTTTTCATATTTTTTCTTTTTCTATCATTTAAAACAAGAAATCAAATAAATTAAAAAGGAAAAAAAAACTAAATTACAAGTAAATTTTAAAATATAAGGACTAAATAATTAGGTTTTAAAACATAAAAGACTAATTAATTTGTTTATCAAAATGAGAAGGACTAGTTTATAATTTACTAGGCAAACTAAAAAGGTTTTTTTTTTTTTTTTTTTTTTTTTTTTTTTTTTTTTCAGAGGTGTATTTTACAATTTAACCAAATTTTAACCAACCGTCTTTTTCACAACAGGAGTTATTTGGAAATGGAAAAACAGTTTAAGGTCTATGTCTACGGAGAAGGGGAGCCTCCTGTATTTCATAATGGTCCTTGCAGGAGCATATACTCCATGGAAGGAAATTTTATTCACATGATGGAGATTGATGGCCATTTCCGTACCAAAAATCCTGACAAAGCACATGTTTATTTCCTTCCCTTCAGCGTAGCGATGATGGTGCAATTCGTCTACGTGCGAGAGTCACGCGATTTTGGTCCGATAAGTAGGACTGTATCAGACTATATTAGCCTAATTAGTGGAAAATACCCCTATTGGAATCGAAGTCTTGGTGCCGACCATTTCATGCTTGCTTGCCATGACTGGGTAATCACCATATTCCTTACATTTTAGTTGTCTCAAGTTTCAAAAAGATTTGATGAAATAGATATAATATAGCAATGCTTGTTTGATGCTTCTAAAGTTAGCATTGATCATTTCGTCATCAAATATGTCTATGAAAAAATTATTTCATTATTGCATAATTGGCAAACTGGAATGAAAGCCATCTTTATTCTTCATATATATATATATATATATATTACATTTACTTTGTGTTCGCTTTCACAGGGGCCAGAGGCTTCGTTTTCCGTTCCTCATCTAGGCAAAAACTCAATTCGAGCACTATGCAATGCCAACACCTCAGAAAAATTCAATCCCATCAAAGACGTATCCTTTCCAGAAATCAATCTCCAAACCGGTTCAATAAAGGGCTTCGTTGGTGGACCATCTCCATCGAGACGTTCGGTCTTAGCTTTCTTTGCTGGAGGGCTTCATGGTCCTATCAGACCTATAGTTCTTGAGCACTGGGAAAATAAGGATGATGACATCAAGGTGCATCGGTACCTCCCAAAAGGGGTCTCTTACTATGAAATGTTGAGGAAAAGCAAGTTTTGCCTTTGTCCAAGTGGTTATGAAGTTGCTAGTCCCAGAATTGTTGAGGCACTTTACACGGGGTGCGTTCCTGTGCTGATTTCAGATCATTACGTGCCACCTTTTAGTGACGTCTTGAATTGGAAGTCATTCTCTGTTGAGGTTTCGGTGAGTGATATCCCCAGCTTGAAGAAAATATTGACAAGTATATCTCCGAGGCAATACATACGAATGCAAAGAAGAGTGCTGCAAATAAGGAGGCACTTCGAGGTTAATTCTCCTCCAAAGCGGTTTGATGTCTTCCATATGATTCTTCATTCTATTTGGCTCCGTAGATTAAATGTTAGAATTCATGATGATCGATTATCCATCACCAGTTGATTGAACATGTCACCTAATAATAATCAGATTCCTAATGAGAGATGCCACTTCAAAATTGTGTAATTATGTCAAGGACACGTTTTTATCGGGTACCGAAGTGTAACAAAATAAATTACAGGCTGCATTGATCCGCCTATTCCTTTTTATATATTTTACAGGGGTTGATAGGTAAGAATTACTTAGGATTGGGAAATTATCTAACATTCATAAAAGACTGTTCTAACGTTCTTGTAGGCTATGCTAACTAGATCCTCAATTCTTCTATACTTGAAACCAATCCTTTTCTTGTTTGAGTTCGTGTAGGCCCACGCTACCTCTGGCTGCAGTCCCTTTCTTGTTATGGCGGTATTAAAAGTCCTGCGACCAAACTAAAGCTGGCCTCTGGCTTAAATTAACTAGCTGTAGCACATAAACAACACACTAAGCGTAATTGCGTAGACTCAAAAGAAGGAAATAGGGGATAAGCTTCCTCTTTTATTCAGCAAGGAAAGTCACTCACTCTTTAGGGGCACTAAATCTAATGATAATTCTGTAATTTATGATCACATGTAGGTCATGTTCACTTTCTTTTTAGCAGTACCGATAGATGTGGACAGTGGAGACAGCTCGAGGTATAATTATGTTACATGATGATTATTTATACACTACTATTTTAACAAGAAGCATTTGTAGTTTTTATGCTGACTTAATGAATTTTATTTGATATGATATCTTATTATTAGAAGTGTTAGAAATTTTATAATTATGTAAATTTAAATCTTAATCTTGCATAAACCTTATTGTACAAGTTTTTAAAACTTTATAATTTTTTATGTAATAAATAAAATTTGGAAGAGAACATATTTTTATTTATGATGAAGAATGATTCAATAAGAGATAAATCTTTTAAAGAAATGTATATCCTTAAGAAACTATCTTTCTTTAGGGAACCGTATTTCTCTTCCTTAGCCTTCTTAAGTTTTTAACATATATAGTAATTTGATGAAAATAAACTATCTATTTATATGGCAAAGAGAGGACCCAGTTCAAAAAATATTTTAAATTATAACATTCCATCAATGTAACTTTTCTTTATTAATTGTTTATATCTCTTGACCAATAGGATTTTAGCACTTAATTTATTAAATTATTAAAAAAATGGGCCACTTAAATACAATATCTAACATTCCCCCAATTAGCCCTTCTAACATTATCATGATCTAACAAAACATAATATGCATGGTAAAAAGCTAAACCCTTTTCTACATTGGTCATAGCATTAATAATGATTAAGCAAAAACTAGTATGGATCACAAGCAATTGTATGTAACTAATTCAAAATACTTCCTTCTATGTATCATAATATTAGTTCAAAACTTAATACGAGCTATAATAAGATATGACATAATGGTCCAACAATAATGTCTTCGTTAAAGACAACTCTGTTAATATTCATATAATTCATTTATGTGTACATACCAATAAAAAAAATGATATTTAAATATAAAAACAATACTTAAATGAGCTCGAGTGTCAAATACAAATAATACACGAAATAATAACATTATGTCATTAACGATACCCAATAATACGAATTCTTTCAAGCATATTCATTAAATGTCTTTGGTGGCAATCCTTTTGTTAAGGGATCCACAATCATAAGATTAATGCTAATGTGTTCGATTGGCACTTTGTTTATGAACTTCTTCTTTAACGATAAAGTATTTTATTTACATGTGTTTAGCACTCTTTGAATACCTGTCATTTCTTGAAAAGAAGACAATCGTAGCATTGTCGATGATGGCTCGTAGAGTCGTGCAAGAACACGAGTCACCACCTAGCTATCACGAAGAACTATGAAACTCTTAACAAAATAGTCCGCATAGATATCCGGGTAAAAGGTCGGTTAAATATAAAAAAGATATAACATAATCGTCATTCTATCCTACCTAATGTAGGCTATATTGATTGCATGTAAAAAACAAAAGTCTAGTTTCATTATGTTATGTTTATATACCTATTTGAGTGAATATATTTTGTTAGGATGGTTTAGCAAAGTAATTCAAGGTTCAAACTAGTCCATAGCCAATACCCATGTTTAAAGGGGAAAGGTGGGAGAGATTAGAATTTTAGCTAATCTTTAGTGACTATAAAGCTATACCAATAAGTAGGTGAGTTTTTAAAGATTGAGAGTCTATATTGACATGAACAAGAGGTCACCAACAACTTCACTCACATAAATGAAAAGCCATCGACGACTTTATCACATAAGTGGAAAGCCACCGACAACTCTATTTTGCTCTAGAAAGGACCGGATAACTAGTTTGGAAGCCGTTAGCAACTTCATCAAGTAAGTGAAAAGCCACCAACAACTTTATTTTAGATGAATAGAAAGTAGATAAATTGATTTAGAAGCCACCGATAGTTTTTACCATATAGGTGGAAAGCCATCGACTTACCATATAGGTGGAAAGCCATCGACAGTTTCATTTTAATTGAGCAGAAAGAAGATAAACTAATTTGAAAGCCATCAATGACTTTGTCCACATAGGTAGAAAGCTACCAGTAGCTTCATTTTAAACAAAAAGAAAGCAGATAAATTGATTTGAAAGCTATTGGTGACTTCGTCCACATAAGTGAAAGGCCATTGACAACTTCATTTCAATCGAGCATAAAATAGGTAAAATGACTTTGAAATCACCGAAGACTTTGTCACATAAATAGAAAGCCACCAAAAGCTTTGCTTTAATAATTAGAGATTAAAAAAAAATAGTTTGGGAGACACTAATAGCTTTGTATACATAGGTGAAAAGCTATCGACAACTTTCTTTCAAGCGCACAAAAAATCAAATAATCATATATTAGACAGGAATATTATGCATTAGGCACATCATACCAAACATGTCAAATCAACCACATCACAATACGAGCACAAGCATCACATTTAAATCTAAACACCGAGATTGACATTTATCCCCAATCCATCATTAAAATTAAATTTTAAACTCATCCTCTCAACTTCTTCATAAAGTATTGAATAATCTATCTTATTTCTCTTAAAGATACCCGAGGTCATCGATCTTTTTGGATTCGATACACGACAATGTATCTAATCACACTTTAAATTTCTTAACAATCCCAACCAAAAGTATTTTATATTTCCATAAAAAAGAAATTTAATCAATGATATCAAATGGGTACTAATTTTCAAATGTTATCCAAATAGCTATTGAAAAATATTGAATTTGTTCAAAGTTCTCTTTGAGGTCGGTTCCATTCTCTTCATCCCTTATGAGAATTAATTGTGCGATTAGCCATGGAAGTAGAGTAGCTGCTCATTAAAGCATTGAAGATATTAAAAAATATTAAAAAGCCCCTAGTTATTGATGAAATGACAAAAATACCCCTAGAGGTGAAAATTACCAAAATGCCATTAGAGGTAAAAATTACCAAACTACCTTTGGTAACCTCAAGAGCTATTGCGGCTTACTTCGAACATCATCCCATAATTCTTTAGGTGTGTTGACCAATCCATAAGCTAAAAGAGGTTATCGTTGATCCGTCTATGGTGATCTTATTAGTCGTCATTGACAAAAGAGAAAGATTGATGACCTTGAAGTTTTGACTATCTATTTCTCTTTTCTCGACGATAATTCTAGCCATGGTGAGGCAAAACAGATGATACCAATCTATTTAAAGGACTAAGGGGAGCATTTCTACCGTGGTTAGGAGGTTTAATTTGATCAAAAATTGAACATTTAGTCGGCCGTGTTAAACAAAGGGATTGGGTTGATGGTCAATCGTCATCAATTTAGGTGTTTTCTTCCATAATTGTAAGAAGGGAATGGTTATTGGAAGCTTATGGAAACCTTTTATGGTGGCGAGAGGCTCTCAATTTGGTCGAAAAATGGTCAAATTTGAGAGAGAAGAAACAAGTTGGTCTGGAGAGTTCTTTAATGATTTTTGACAACTCGAATGTTTTTTTACTAGGTTTCCCGAGGGATTTTAGTTGGATTTGGGTAGGAAACACTTTTAAATTGTTGCAGGAGTTCAATTTGGTCAAAGATGAAGGATTTGACTAGGTCATCGAAAATAGGCCGAGATGGGTTTTTGCTTCAATTAGAGCTATTTTCAATGATGTTGAGTTAGGATTTTAAGGAAGAACTATTTCTAAAAGGCTAAAGGACATTTCTCCGGTGGTGGAAGACTTCGATTTGATCGGAATTAGGAGATAAATCTAATTTCCAAAGCGGGTCGGGTGGTTTTTCTTCTCTCTATTTTTTGGCCAATTTTGACGTTTTCCTCCTCTCTAACTAGTCATAAATGGTTGATCCGAGGCTAGGCTATCAATTAGTGGTGGTGGATGGAAGTGATATCGACCGAAGGGTGCTTGATTTGGGAGATGAAGGAGCGACGTGTATACGGGTCAACTCGTTGGTTGATAGGTTGGTCGGGTATTTTAAAGGGTTGTTTGGTAATTTTTGTAGGGTTTTTATTTTTGGCACCCGTGTCCCATTTAAAGGCTAAAGGGAGCGGGCATTTATAAGGAAAAAATTAAGGTTTTGGATAAATATTAATTTTGGTCCTTGGCTTCTTTTAATTTTTAATTTTAGTGTTGATTTATTTGGTTTTTTCTTCAATAGTACCCTTCCCTTCTTTTAATTAAAATATTGGGTTTTAATCCTTTCAATTGCACCCTTACTAGAGTTTTTTTTCCTACTCTTTGTCAAAATTTTTAAATAATTCTCTTTTTTTTCTTTTCTCTTGTTTTTGTATTTTATTTTAATTCATAGATTTAAAAGTTAGATGGGGTAAAAATGAGGTGTTAACAATTACTCTTTCTTTACAACACTTTCGTTACCAAGACATTGAAAAGCCATTATAAAAAGTTTTGTAAAGAAAAAAAAAGAATAAAAGGGAAACAAATAACATGAATAACAAGCAAATAAAAAAAATAATCATCGAATTCAAATGACACCCGACCATTTGACCAAAAAGGTTGAAACAAAAGCATGTGATAT